TCCTGCCCCAGTCTCAGGCTAACATCAGAATGGTTGGTTTTCTTCATCATCTCCGCCTTTCTACAAGGGGTCCGCGAAACATCAATGGTTGAGAACCATGTATGCTATTTCTGTTCAAACAAAGTTTCCAAATTAAATGTTCATCACTTTTTTTTTCTTGTTTGCTTAGAGGAAGGGAAGCAGGCGTCATTGTACGATTCTCAGTGCGTACCTCTACGCATAACATATATCTGATGGTATGTTGGGGGCCCAAGCAAGGTAAGGGCTTATCAACAAAACCGCGAAGGCATAACAACGTTAAAATATGCCGAACTAGTGCCATTCGGTCGTAGCGCAAACGGGCGAAATGAGAATGGATCCAGTTGCGAAAAATACAATTTGGATCTTATGAGAAGGTTCAAACAAGGCCGACCAAATGAGAATAGGACGAAATGCGCACGGTCGAAATGCGAATGGGACGTTTTCAGATAAGGGGCAAAATGAGAATGGGCCCAGTTGCGAAAAACGCGATTCGGATCTTATGAGAAGGTTCAAACGAGAAGGACCAAATGAGAATGGGACGAAATGTGCAAGGTTCAAATGCGAATGGGACGTTTTGAGATACATCCTTTCAGTCACTCCTTTTTGCATGATTCGTCGCCCGCATCACGGTGCTGAGAGCAAACAATGCTGGTTAGAAAAACAAGCATTGCGATTGTCGCTCAGTGTTTCTATGAAATATAGACTGGAAGGGTTTGTTCTGTGACTTTCGTGACATTCTGAAAATTATATGGCTTCAAGCTCAGTCGTCTCGTCATCATATATATACTGTGAAACGTATTCCGTAAAACACATTTCATGATATATATGGCGACGAGGTGCCCATTTCATGATTTTATTCACTGTAATTAATTCCTTAGTTCAAAGGCAAAACCACGATTCAACCTCTAATACTGCGATGCAAAGTTGTACCAATCACGGGCATTTAGGCAACCTACTTCACTTTGCGAAAACATTTCGATTCAGGTACAAGGTATGTGACTCTGGCAAACGAGGGGATGTTGAGTCGTATAAACACGACGTTTTGTATGTTAATGTAGATTTTCTTTTCTTGTTGTGTAGAAATAAATAACATAATTTTATAATTTTGGTACCTGAAAATAAAACTGGATTGAACAAACGATAGAAAAAAGCTATATACTGTAAACGACTTATTTTTCGTGGGCTCAATATTTCGCGATTTACGTCAAAGCTGAAGTTTTGGAATAATTCGAGGGTTGTAATTTTCTCCACGCGGTGGAATCTCAATGTAAATTCCAATGTGTTTACATTTTACCGAAATCGTTTGCGGGCTCCATTTTTCGTGAATTGTAGGCGATTCGCGAAATTCTCAAAAATTAGGTCCTCGCAAAAATCAGGTCTAAATAGTGCCTATTGACAGAACAACGCGAAAAATATATTCTCAATTTAGCGGTTCAAACCGGTTCGAACCGGTTTGAACCGTTATTTTTTGCGCCCCGGAACTGAACCGGAACTGAACCGAAATCCATGAACCCGAACCCGAACCGAACCGATAAAAATATCGGTTCGACACTCTGATCAGCAGTTCCGTAACTGAGCTGATCTAATCACGTGCCCTTCCATGCATGCAATCGGCTATAGACGATTACAAGCAGGGTGACTGGCCGCCACCATGATTCTACTCGTGCGGGCAGCCAGATGCAATGACCGATCTCGCCAAGCGTTCGGCGCATGCGTGAAGCCGCCGTATCTTTAGCTCACAGGAGCCAGGCGGCAGTGCCCGAGACGGCTGGTGCCTTCTCGCGCGCTGCATGCCCAGAACCATAGCCAGGAGGCTATGCCAGAACTCCAACCAGGTTGTCGCAAGTGCTGAATGACTAAAGCCCGGTTCAGACACTTGCGTTTGAGTGCGTTTGACTGCGTTGCGTCGAGAACCGAAAGCGAGTCAAGCCTGCTTCAGACAGTTGCGTTTGACTGCGTTTGACTGCGTTGCGGCAGCGAGAAACCAGGACATTCCTGCTGCTTATATCGCGTGCCATGATGATTCCTTGAACGCTTCATACGAAGCACAGATGTGCCGGTGACTCGCTTTCGGTTCTCGACGCAACGCAGTCAAACGCAAGTGTCTGAACCGGCCTTCACCGGCACGTCTGGGCCTCGCATGAAGCGTGGAATCCAATTCAAGGAATCATCTTGGCACGCGATATAAGCAGCAGGGATGTCCTGGTTTCTCGCAGCCGCAACGCAGTCAAACGCAGTCAAACGCAACTGTCTGAACCAGGCTTAAAGTTCTCTCGATGCCTTGCGGCAGCGGTGGCGTAGCCACATATTACCCTAGCATTATGGAGAATGCAGGGATTCGTGTTCCACGCGCCACACGCGCACGCCTTCCCCGTATAAAAGATTCGAAGTAAATAACCAAAATAAAGCGTTGATGAACGCGTGTGCAAGATGTCATTTGTTTTAGGTATTTGCTTTAGAACAGTTACTACGGCTAACTGTCCCACGCGCCAGCGCGTGCGGCGCGTGGAACACCAATCCCTGCATTCTCCTTGATGCTTGGCAACGTTACTAAAATACTCAGTTGGGAAACTCGCCGTCGAAACCTGAGCCGCTGGCGTCCACCGAGATTGAGCTAAATGCGACAACAGCGCCACTCTTTATCGTTTGTCTGTACTGTGGTCTTCTTGAGCTTTTAGAAAGCGTGTTTTTTGCATAAAAAGAAACGGAAAAAGACTCTATTTGTATAAAATTTATTGGAGTTTAGTACAAAATGATGGGCGCGTGATGTTTTTAAAATCTTTAGTTTGCAGGGTTTTACGGCACAATTGATATTGTTTTTATACAGCCATGCCTCAGCGGTGCTTTCAGGTAGCGCGTCCCGACCTAGGCGTATTTTAACTTCGGTAGTAGTTCGCGGCGCGTCCGCCTGGGAGACAGGGGTGGCACCCCTGTAACGTCTTCCGCTGTATCGGTTTCAGTGCCAGAATGGCCGATTAAAGCCAAAATAGATGTCACGTGCAGTTCCTCGAGTTGCCGCTGCGGGAGAAATCGTGGCGTCGTGTTCACCTTTAGCTCGGTTTTCGAGGACAGATCGGGGCCAATTTTTCAGAGCAGTCTATATGGCAGTTTCCGAACTGAGTGGTTTAGTAACGTTGATGCTTGGGTAATATAGCAGTAGATCTATTGGAAGCATGTGAAAGCTGTGTTCACGAGCACGCTGCACGTGAAAAAACTGTGAGTGCGCAGGCGAGCTGGTGGATGTTGATCATAATATAGAAAACCCGAGACTGTGGTAAAAGCAAGGAAACGGAGTCGAAGAAGAAAGGCAGGGGAAACGAACGTCTCAAATTGAGACGTTCTTTTCCCCTGTCTTTTTTCTTCGACTCCGTTTCCTTACTTTAACCACAGTCTCGGGTTTTCTATATTATGACGCTGCACGTGCTTGCATTCATGGGGCAGCAGTCGGGGCTCCATGCTTGTAATCGTCTACAAACTCTACATGCTTGATCGCCGTTTGTTTTTGGAATCCGGTTCTTGTCTGACAAAACACTCGTGTTGGGTCACTACTCACATGTTTACTAACAACCCGATGCCGTACCTAGTAGATAGGGGCATATAACATAAAGGGGGAGGGGGGGGGGGGGGGGGGTAGGGCGCCACGGCCGGAGTTCGGCCAGCACGCTCGATGGTGTAGGGCCGGCCCTGCCCCTGAACACCATCGGAGTGATCGACAAAGCTGAAGACGAAGTTGCACCTGCTGTCGACGTCACGCACATGCCTGCACGGATACCATTTTATGATCCCCGTGTGAATACCACTTTATGATCGGCTGAGAATCCGATGTCGCGATCCTCCGCGCGTGGCATACGAATCTTGCACAGTAGAGTAGCCCGAGGCAAGCGTGCATTGATAGAGCATTTTTCAATATTTGGTGTCAGTGAACAATACATAGCTTGCAAGTGTCGCCATTACTGGGAACTAACGGTTACTTCTGGTTTCTTCGAACTACAACTTCTGCCATGTGAAACTAACGCGGCGAACCGAAACGCTCGCGGCGCATAAAATGCTGCCATGGCCTCGAATGTCGTCACACGCAATCTATGTATAAACCGATCTCGCGAAGCGTCCGACGCATGCGTGACGCCGCCATAACTGTGGTTCACAGCACGCGTGCGGCTGTGCAACAGCAGACAGTTCCTGCCGTCCCGTGCTTTGCTCGCGCAGAGCCGCTGCGGGCTTGTCGCGCGTGCAGAAAGACTACAGTTTCCACGGTGCATGCCACCAGGGGCGGCGTAACCAAGTGGGGCGGTGATTTCGGTCTACTTTTTAGAGAGTCAAAAATTTCAATAAGAAAAGCTTTTAATAGCAGCGATCGTTTGCTGGAAGAAAAGTTTGCATCGATATGGAATAGCGGTACACCGAACGACTCAGGGTCCGTGAAAAATGCAAGCATATCGCGAGAGATCAACATCAACCAATATATAATATATATACAAATTGTCCCCCCCCTCCCCCCCCAAAAAAAAAAATTACGTTTTTTTTTTTAGCTCAAAAATAATTTGCGCGTCGCCGAACGCTCGTTCTGCCATTAAAATTTAACGCTAGAGGTCCGAACCAAATGCTAAAGTTTCAGCACTTACCCTTATTCTATTCAAAAGTTAACAGTAATTTTCTAAAAATTGCAACGGGAAACTGGAGGCCGACTCAGCTCTCGAATGCATGTAGCCCTATGGCGCCGGAAACCAAAAACGGGCGCCAATAGTCCCCATTTTTCCACCGAAAGTTTCAGCAAATCAATTAAACACTTTTGAATATGATATCAGTTTTTGCTGAAACGTTGGCTCTGGTTTGAACCTCTAGGGCTACATTTAAGAAACAAATGAGCGTTCTTTTCTTTTTTTGAGGGGGGGGGGGGGAGGAGAACAGCCTGCAGTTTAGAGTTTCGTTCTATGCCACGATACATAAACTGCAACCATCCTTATCAATACACCGAAGTTCTACTCCTCCGTGGCGATGCCGTATCGAGATTCCTCGGCAAAGGACGCTTCCATTGCCCTGAGGCGCTCGTAGAACTCCGCGGAACTGAGGGGACCTCTGGTGCCTCCAAGCTCCTCTGGCAGCATCTCTTCGGGAAAGCGGTGATGCAGCTTGTGCAGGTCCCATCCATGAAAGTGGATCTGGAGTTTTAGAAAATAAAAAATCATGAGCCATTCCACTCTGTGAAGGTGAATGATCAGCTGAGCTGTTTAGCAGACGACACAGACCCGCCCCGAGGAGCTCGAGGAAACTAGACACGCGCGACGGGACCGCCACCCCGGGAGAGCGGAAGGAAAGGAAACTAGGCACGCAAGCGCTTGGAACGGCGACAAAGAGAGGGCGGTACGAGCGCAGACGTGGCCGACGCGGGTCGCACAGCGGCAAATCTTTGTGAAACCTTTATTGTCTACCTGAGAGCCTGCTGATCATGAAAATGGTGCCTATTGATAACTAATCTACTGAATAGACCTATTGCTAAATTACCCGAGCATCAAGGAGAATGCGGGGGTAGTGTTCCACGCGCCGCACGTGCCGGGGTCTGCAGCAGTGACTGTTCTAAGGCAAAAGACATCTCGCACACGCGTTCGTCAACGCTTTATTTTGGTTATTTACTTCGAATTTTTTATGCGAGGAAGGCGTTCACGTGCCGCGCGTGTAGGGGTGTGAGCACAGGGTTTTTAGTCACTGCACACGAAAAATCCACGGAACACTAACCATAAACAGCTTTGCTGTAAACATTCCCCAAAATCTTAGAAACCACTGGATGGCTACACCGTGTACTCTGTTCACTTTAAGTATGGTGCCTGGAAGGCGTCTCCGACTGGTCTGTTGACCGCGTCCTAAAAAGGCAGTCTCTCGATTTTCGCCTGATGACGTCATAAAAGTGCCACGCTATCGCCGGCCGCGATCCTGGCGGTGTCACAGCAGCGGTGCTGTACGTGACAGACGCCTGTTCTGCTGCGCTTCGCTCCCCAGAGTGACAGTCCACGGAAGCTTCGGCAGCGAGGAGTTGGGACGCCGCGGCGACGACAGCAACACTCGCGTTCGCCCTTGCTTTTTGCCAGCGTTTCTACGACAAACCGCCAGGATCGCGACATCCTACAGTATAGACGCTTTCAGGCCGCTGTGCATGGGCGCCGCCATAACTGACCTTCAGTTTTTATTCCCTCTTATTCCGTTCGCTTCACTTCATCATTACCACAGCAGGACAGGTCATTGCCATTTTAGGTGTTACTGTGTCCTCCTCTCCAGCATAGGCCTTTGTGAAGATCCATCAACTCCCGCTTCACTGGCTCGGCATCTCGCAAAGACAAGAGAAGGTCGGCTATGGCGGCTAAATTTGGCGCGCGCTGAAAGCGTCTATATGACACTCCAACGTTTGCAACGTCATTTGTTGCCGCTTCGGGGACCAGCTTTGATGCACGGGCGGAATATAGGACGCTAAAGCACACTCGTCGAAAACGCGTTCGTCTGCTTCTTTTCCAGGGGTCGTGGTGACGTGAGATCGCCGAGCTCCGATTGGCTCTGTTCGGCGAATAGTGGGTAGGCCTCGAGGCAGCTTGCTTTGAGGTTTACCCACTATCCTTCGATTGGAGCCAATCAGAGCTCGGCGTCTTTCTGACGTCACCACAACCCCCTTGCAAAAGAAGCAGACGAATTTGCGCTCCGAATAGGGTGTCACAAAGTCATTCAAGCAGCGTCAAAAGTGCGCCGTCACGACGGCTGTCATCCTCCCCGTCGTTGCGTGCTATCTCACCGACTAAACCTATATGACGCGCAGTAAATGCGCCGCGAGTATGTGCCTTTTTTTTCTTTTGTACGAGATTGGCTCAGCCGGTGAAAGCGAAACCACAAAGACAACCAACGCCGTGACGGAGCACTTTTGGCGCCGCTTGATTAGCCACATCGAATCCTAACGTCGACTGCGGTAACGCGCCAGATTACAGCCGCCATTACTCTTCTTTTGTCTCGCCGAGATACTGAGCCACCGAAACGGGATTTGGCGAGACTCCACAAAGGACAATGTCGGGGACAAGTGCACAGTAGAATCAAGGCGACAATATCCCGGGCTGCTAGATGTAATACTAAAGTGAAGTAAACAGAGGAAGAGGAAACAAATAAAACTGAATGTCGGTTGTGGCGGCACCCATGCATGGCTGCTATAAAGTGTCTGTGTTGGCAACGGTGGAAGGAAAGAGGTGTCTGAACGGCACCGCCTCGGCCAGGGAGCGAGTGTATCAAAGGTTCGCTCGGGTACCGGGCGCGAACGCCGCCAGATGCTCAACGGGACTATAGGGGCTCGAAAAGCCGCCCCTTTTCCCCGAACAAGTTTTCAAGCTGCGCGCTACCGCTCCTCTGCGAAGGCCCCTAAATCGAGAGGGTCCCTGTCGGGAGACGAGCAAAGCCCGAGCCGACTTTCACCATCCCTACTGGTCTTTTTCGGACACCTCTCTACTCTTCGATCGTGGTAATGGCTATACATGACTTGTATTAGCGTATTAGCAGCTCATGCGGTGGCCTTGCTGCTGACGAATGCCTTCTGAGAGCATACATGTCATACCATCGATTTTTTTTTCTCGGCAAGAACCATTACCAGCGTAATGCAATTACGTCACGTACAAGCTACGTGTACCTTTTGTGTCGGGCGGTAGCTTGTGGCACCTAGGTAACAAGTAGTGATGGGCCGAACTTTTGCCGAATCGAAAGTTCGGCATCGAACCTTGGGATTCGGCAAAGCCAAACTTTTCTAAAGATTCGGCAGATTCGGCAAAAATACATTGTTACGGGACTTAAAAAGTTTTCCTGGTGAAAAAAAAAAAATGCGGTGGCTTAGCTCGGCTATGCCAGGATATCTGTAGCGTGAGCTTATGCGCACAAAATGAGAGGCGCTATCAAGCGGCTCCGGCGCAGCGTCAGACTTGGCTACTGCGCAACGGAGGCGCACAGCTAGGCACGCGGAAGCGCCAGTGCGTCTGCCGCGGCTATGACGTCACTCCTCTGGAATGTGCAGACCGGCAAGGCGGGCGCGGCGGCGGCGGAGCGCGCGGTGGCGGCGGCTCCGGCGCGCCCGCTGTGCGCCGTGTGACGTCACTGCTCCTCGCGCATGCGCAGCACGGAGAAAGGCTCATTATGCGAGACACGCAAAACTGCTCAACCTCGGCCAGTGTAGCTCACGCTACAAAAGGTTTTATGTTTCTTTTTTCTTAAATTAAATGCAACATGTAATGCATATTGAAACAGTTATTACTAAATAAGGTGATATTCTACAATATAATTGTGTCGGTGTCGCTTTTGTGTGTTTACTGGCAATTTTATTGACTGCTTAAAGGAAGGGTTCGGTAGTAGCGAGTGTGGCGCAGTCAGGAATCACGCTACGAGACTTTCGGTTTGGAGGCGTAATCAGCGCAAGTTTGTAACTGTGTGTAGATTGTTAAAATGAAGACAATAACACTGCGTTCTTGCTTTCTCTGGGAGTCATCGTTTCGTGCGCGAAAATGAGTGCAATGATTGCTGAGCCTTCCCCAGATGAGATAAAAATATTATTGCAAATATGCTTGTTTTTCGATTTGAGTCCGTTGACGTAAGTTTTGCATGAAAGTGTGCGTCCCATATTCGCAACGTCTCGTTTCTAACCTTTAAAATGCCGGTTTCTTGTGATAGGACACACACGGACGTTTAGCAAGATGGAGAGAGTTAGGAATGTCGATTCTGCAAATTCGAATAATATAGTTTTGTGTTTAGTTTCAGGCAGATACATGAAAATCTCGAAATAACGCTAATTGAAAAATCAATTTTATTTTGTTCTGGCAAAAACTACTTCTGAGCCGAAAACAGAATTGTTATAATTACGAGGAGTGCTTTAAAGCAATTGTCAGCCAATGTTTAAACTACCTCGTTGCATCACTTGAAATGTCAAATGAAAATCATGTTATCCAGAATGTTCCGCATCATTTGTCACTTACGCAGTGGACTGCGTAAATTATTGGTCGATATTTTATTCTTGAGGCAGAAAATATTGAAGAGAACCACTCTCGCTCTTAAATGCACAGTTACCATATTGCCTCCTCCACACGTCGTCGTAACCACTGGTTGTACTACACTGCATGATGGCAACCGCGCGACTGCGTGTCCATTTGCAATCCATGGCCCCGTCGCGTTCGCGCGCGTGCGGAGGCCTTGGTCGAATTTTTTCCGAATATTTGCCGAACTTTACTTCAAAAGTTCGGCATTTTTCGAACTTTGCAGAATCTGAAGTTCGGCAGACTCGGTCCATCACTAGTAACAAGTCCTCCGCAGTGGTGGATTTTTTTACGTCACCCATTGGAGTCCAGGGGGCGTGCGCAAATGGACACGAGTGCTGCTAAAGAGTTCGGCTGGAACCCGAGATTACTTGCTGCTTCACAGATTAATAATAGCTGGTGTGATAGCTCAGGAGAAAAGCCACCGGAGCTGATATGAAGTATATGCACGCCACGTACAGTTGCTGGCATGATGACAACGTCAAGGCGCCTCCAGCACGCTCTCGTTGCCTCCCCAAGTGCTTTGGCTGCGCGTGCACAGTAAAAAAAAAAAGTATATACTCTAACCAGGGACTCAAACCGTAACCGTAACCGAAACCGAAAACCGTTTAGGAACGAGATTTTTTCTGTAACCGTAACCGGAACGAAACCGTTATTTGATATTTATAAAAACCGTAACCGGAACCGGAACCGTAAATTATTCACCGGTAACCGGCTTTAACCAATATTAACCGAAAAATAAACTATTAGTTTTTCTGAAGTATGACCTGGAGGAGGGATCTTAAATTGTTGTGGCCATTTGACAGAGTTACTGTCAGCGAGTGGTGCATCTGGTTACATATTTCCATTCAATCTGACTTTAGGAATAAGAATACTCAGATTGAATTAGTGGTCGAGCTTATAATTAAAAAAATTCTATATTTCTAAATCTGCCACACTCCTACATCGCTATATGTATTCAGTACGTGTCGCTTTCAGTGTATTAACTAATAAGTTCGAATTCTCAGATGTCCATCCAACTCGGTTCTATCAAAACCACCGATGTTCCTGACATGCAGTAGCCAGTATAAAGAAACGAGGTAAATTGGCCATCATGCAGAGCTGGCGGAAAAGAAAACCTG